ATCCTTGCTTAAAGTCTCTCAAAGACTTTATTAGGATGAAATCCAAATTATCTATCATTATAAAGCAAAGTACTTCACAAATTGATATTTAGCTACTTCTATAAGTCATTACTACCCTTATTTGACACAGAACATGTACAATTTTATTTCATTATTTCATCTTTGTACATGAAGTTGCCTCACCTAAAAATGTCCCTTACTCCCTCCTCATCCTTTCTCTGGATGCCTTCCGCAGGTCCAAAGATACTCCTGTTGGACACCTCCTACTGAGCCTTTTCTGGTAAGTGCTCCTTGAAGGTTTCATAGCTGGGATAAGTACCACTCACCTCTTCTAGATATGTCAGAGTTGATTTTCCTTAGAGTTCAAACCTCATACCTTTTCTTTGGTTGTTGCTATTCAGTTGCTAAGTCTGACTTAGCAAGAGTCTGACTCTTTGCGACCCCATGGACTGCAGGCTTCCCTATTCTTCAGTTTTTCTCTATCTATATTCAATTCCCAGCAGAAAGCCCGCTCCATAGTATTAAATACCATCTTTATATATATATATGAGTTTTAAAGTTTTATCTATATGTATACATATATTATATGTATATGTTTTATCCTGTCAATTTAATATCTCTATGATAAATGACACTACTTCAAACATAATATATTAAAAATGGAAATCTTGATTCTATTGCTACTCTCCAAACCTGTTATTTTCTTGCTGTTCCCTATCTTAGGTAATGGCATCACCACTCATCTAGTTTGCTTAGTTTAAATATCTTGGAATAATTTTTGACTCCATACTTTCTCTTATAACCTCATACCCAATCTAGCAGTAAAACTTGCCATCTCTACCTTCAAAAATATTTCTTTACACTTCTATCCCTGCTACTATAGTCCAAATGATCGGTCTCTCTTACCTAGACTACTGTAGTGACCTTCAAATTGGGCTCCTTCTTCTACTCTTATTGACCTATCCTATATTTTCCACATTGCAACCAGTGTTACCCATTATAAAATCAGGTTATCACCACCATTTCCAGTCTTCTTATAGCCTCATATTTCATTTCAAATAAAATAAAAAATACTTACTGTGGCCTAAAATCCAGAAATCATATGATTCCTAACAATCTTGTCTCTTACAATTCCTACCACAAATGATACATACAGCATTGCCAGACTGACCCCTCTGCATACTGACCACCTTGAATACATAATACCTTCTACTATACTGTAACTTCTGACATGCATGCATGAGTGCCTGCTAAGAGTCACTTCAGTCTTGTCTGACTCTTTGAGACCCTATGAATTGCACCCTGTCAGGCTCCTCTGTCCATGGGATACTCCAGGCAAGAATACTGGAGTGGGTTACCATGCCCTCCTCCAGGGGATCTTCCCGACCCACTTCTACATCTCTTGCATTGGCAGGTGGGTTCTTTACCACTAAAGCCACCTAGGAAGACCTAGCTCTGACTAGAATGCTTATCTATCAGAAATCCAAGTGATTCAATTTCTGATTTCATTCAGATCATTTCTTTTTCTTTCTAGTTCTTAACACTACCTGATACTTCATTAAATTTTTTGTTTGTGTGTCATCGATCATCACTAGAATATAAGCTATGTAAAGCCAGGAGACTGGTTTACTGCCTGGTATGTAACAGATGCTTTATAAAAACTTTTAGAATAAGGGAGAAGTTTAATGTATTTATTGTATTATTCTAGCATTTTGTTTTGCACAGTTCTTTACAGAATTTATAGTGACTGTCTTCCCTATAGATTATAAACTCTAAACTAAAGAACTAAGTATTTTCTCTTCTTCTACCCCAAACTCTACCTTATTTAATAGTAGGTACACAGGCAATGTTTATGATGTAAAATACCTTCATTTTATTTTGTAAGTGAGTGAGGAAATTCTTATAAACAAGGAAAGCTAAGAATATCAGCTTGATTAGGTCACATATGGTAAAAACAAGAAGGAACTCTGCAAGAAAATACCTTGAAGACCTTCTGATTATTTTTGCCCCATTTTCAGCATTAAGGTTTCCATCTGCAAGGGGAAGTTTTCTGGAAACAGTAGCTTAGGAAAATACACAATATGAAGCTCTTATAATTGCCATGTTTATACTGAGTTCTGGGTTAGCTGCTTTGAACCAGTCCTGGTAAAAATAAACTTTCAATGTGTTTTAAGAAATCAGTGTTTCCAATAAGCACTGTCAACATGACCTTTAGTGGTCTCCAGAAATTCTCCTTTACTAAGTATTTAACTGGCTGCTCAACCTCTATGCCTTCCTGTCTGCCTTTAATTTTCCCTCAGCAATTTTAATGCTGGAACAACAGCAAAATACATAAGTCATCCTCTGGGAGTATTTCTAACCATAATTTGAAAAGCCCTTGAAATAAGAAAATTAAAATGGGTTAGAGGAAGAATAGTAGTACATATTACATATTCGTATATACATATGTATGTAATTATATTACATACATAGAGTAAACAACTAGAAATGCACATCACATTCTCTCTCCTATTTTCTATTCAACACTCAACTGTAAGTCCCCACCTCATTTTCTTTCATGGAGAAATTTTGGATTCCACATGTAGAAATCATGTAGAAATACTTTCTGATAAAATTATTATCCATGTTCCATAACAATGATAATATTTAAGAATACTTATAATTCCTATTAAATTACCTAAGGAAAGTCATCCTGAAACTCTTAAATTTCTTGTCATATTTTCATATTAACACTTGGGGCCTCTCTATAAAATAAGTCTATCCCTCACTAAAAGAGAATCAATATTAATACAATGAGACATTATTGAAAAGTTTACAAGCTACAAATATAAACCATGTATAATGAATTCTATTGTAAGTAATTTTATAGATAATTTGAAATAATCCAAGGTCACATCATAAATGTGTAACTCATCTAGCAGTCAATTTAATGATAAACATAGAGAAAGACTACATCGGTTGTTACACATCCCATTTTTTCCTTATTTTCAGCTTCACTGAAAACAAAATCATAAGATATTTAAAACTATACATTGTGGTGACCTAATATGCGAAGAGTTGACTCGTTGGAAAAGACTCTGATGCTGGGAGTGGTTGGGGGCAGGAGGAGAAGGGGACGACAGAGGATGAGATGGCTGGATGGCATCACCGACTCGATGGGCATGAGTTTGAGTAAACTCCAGGAGTTGGTGATGGACAGGGAGGCCTTGTGTGCTGCAATTCATGGGGTCGCAAAGAGTCGGACACGACTGAGCGACTGAACTGAACTGAACTGAATATGCATATACATTGTGAGAGGATTTCTTTTCCATCATCTAGTTATTTAACACATTCATCACCTCACATACTACTTTTTTTCTATAAGAACATTTAAGTTCTATTTTCTTAGCACCTATTATACAATACAGTACTATCAACTACAGAAACCATGCTTTACATTAGCTCCTTAGCTCTTTTTCCTCTTAAAGCTGAAAGTCTGTTCCTCCTTACCAACTTCTCTCTATTGCCTAATCCACTCTTCTAGTACCTGGCAACCACTTTTCTACTAATTTTTTAAAAACTTTTCTACATACAAAGGCAGTAAGTGTCCTTCTCGGTGTGGCTTATTTTCCTTAGCATAATGCCCATCTACATTATCACAAATAGTAGGATGGCCTTATTTTTCATAACTGAATAATATTCATATATATATATACATATAGATATCAATACATATATGGAGAATACATGTGTGTGCATGTGTATACATATATATATAACATTTCTTTATCCACTTATCTGAAGACTGTTTCCATATCATGGCTATTGTGATTATTCCTGCAATGAACATGAAATTATATATAACTCTGAAATACAATTTTCCAATTTCTTTGAATACACAACCAGAAGCAGAACTGCCAGGTCATATGGTTCCTCAAGAGATTACAAGCTCTATTTGTAATCTCTTGAGGAATCTCCACACTGTTTTCCATAGTAGCTATATCAATTTACATTCCCACCAACAGTGTACATGTGTTCCCTTTACTACATATCCTTGCCAGTATTTATCATCTCTTGTATTTTTACTGGTAGCTATTCTAACACGTGGGATGAATTATCACATTGTGATTTTGATTTACTTTTATTGAAAAGACCATCCCTTCCTCATTATACATTCTTGGCCGTTTTGTATTAAATTAATTGACCATATATGCATGTTTATTTCTGGGCTCTGCAATCTGTTTCATTGATCTGTATCTCTGTTTTTACGTCAATACCATACATTCTGATCACTATAGCTTTATAATACATTTTGAAATCAGACCGTGTAATGCTTCTAGCTTTGTTCTCCTCTCTCAAGACTGCTTTGGACAGGTTCTCTCACATCTTTTTTCTTAGAAAAAAAGTAGATCATACCAACAATTTTTATATCTCATAAAATATAATAAGCAACATGAATCAAATTTGATTTGTACTCTTAAATCTATTCTCAAGGGAAGGTACCAATAAAGAGAAAAAAAGAACAAAATTTCAATTCTATAACTTCATATTTAATTCATATCAACTTCTGGATTTCAAAACATTTACTTGCTCCAAAACTGAAATCATCAAATAATAAGAATAACAACAGAATCCGAAAACATCATGTTCTGGTAAGGTTAAAAAAAAAAAGACTAAAAATAGGACACAGAGAAGAGAAGATGGCTAAATTAAAATTTTAATTGCTGTTGATTTCAGCTATAACCACCATTTCCTAGACCAAACTTAAGACTTCTTGAATGCCAGGCAGTCAATAGAGGAAAACAGTCATTTTTATGTATGAAATATAAGGAAGACTCAGTGAATACAACTATAGACCCTTTTTAAACACCCCAAAACAAGCACTGGTATTTGTTTCCCTAAGGAAATAATAAGGACTTACTCTCAAGACCATGAGTGACTTATGGGCCAAACAAAGCCAGGTTAGGTATGACGCCCCGGCTCACCAAAAGCACTTCTAGAGCACTGCAGGGCTTCCTCACCTTAAAAGTCGTGGTGCCGTACAGCTTGGTAGTGTGGACTGTCTCTGGAAGGACATTAGTGATATTGGTGATAAATTCTTCCAAGTACTTACAGGATTTCTCCAAGTGTGTTGTATTGATAATAATCTGGACAAGCTAGAAAAGAACAAGAACATGTAAGGGTCATTTGACTATTTAACCTTGGATGCATGGCTCATTATGAATCTGCTGGTACAAGAAAAACAAAAGGCATAATGACAGAGGCCATCTGTATTCTATAAAAGTTATTGTGAAAGCACAGGATTAGGTATCACTTCCTCTATGAACTTCCCTGACTTCCCAAAGAATCTAGCATTCCCCCTACTATAGGAGTAAATGTCACTATTTTAAACTCGTATCTTTGGTTCAAAATAAAGACTCAGTTCAGTTTCAGTTCAGTCGCTCCGTCGTGTCCGACTCTTTGTGACCCCATGAACCGCAGCACGCCAGGCCTCCCTGTCCATGACCAACTCCCCGAGTCCACCCAAACCCATGTTGATTGAGTCAGTGATCCATCCAACTGTCTCATCCACTGTCGTCCCCTTCTCCTCCTGCCCTCTATCTTTCCCAGCATCAGGGTCTTTTCAAATGAGTCAGCTCTTCACATCAGGTGACCAAGTACTGGAGTTTCAGCTTCAACACCACTCCTTCCAATGAACACCCAGGACTGATTTGCTTGGATTTGTTTGGATCTCTTTGCAGTCCAAGGGACTCTCAAGAGTCTCCTCCAACACCACAGTTCAAAAGCATCAATTCTTCAGTGCTCAGCTTTCTTCACAGTCCAACTCTCACATCCATACATGACCACTGGAAAAACCATAGCCTTGACCAGACGGACCTTTGTTGACAAAGTAATGTCACTGCTTTTCAATATGCTGCTAGGTTGGTCATAACTTTCTTTCCAAGGAGTAAGCGTCTTTTAATTTCATGGCTGCAATCACCATCTGCAGTAATTTTGGAGCCCAGAAAAATAAAGTCAGCCACTGTTTCCACTGTTTCCCCATCTATTTGCCATGAAATGATGGGACCAGATGCCATGATCTTAGTTTTCTAAATGTTGTGCTTTAAGCCAACTTTTTCACTCTCCTCTTTTACTTTCATCAAGAGGCTCTTTAGTTCTTCTTCACTTTCTGCCATAAGGGTGGTGTCATCTGCTTATCTGAGGTTATTGATATCTCTCCCGGCAATCTTGATTCCAGCCTGTGCTTCCTCCAGCCCAGCGTTTCTCATGATGTACTCTGCATATAAGTTAGATAAGGAGGGTGACAATATACAGCCTTGACGTACTCCTTTTCCTATTTGGAACCAGTCTTATTGTTCCATGTTCAGTTCTAACTGTTGCTTCCTGACCTGCATACAAGTTTCTCTAGAGGCAGATCAGGTGGTTTGCTAGTCCCATCTCTTTCAAGGCTAAGATAAAAAACTGATAGTATTTAGCATACAACCTGGAAATAAATAATTGTCAAATGAATAAAATAAACTCCCATTAAAAGAACAGGAATGACTGAAATGACAGTAAGTTTCAAAATAAGGCACAATGAACATAGGAATTTTGGAACAGTTGCAGTATATAAACAAACTACATCAGTTTCTATGAAAGAAAAAAACATGAGCACAGGAGTCAGAGAAACCAGGGAGCAACTACTTACAAATTATTGATACTGACAAAGTTTCTTGTCTTCTCTATTTATTTAATTGTAAAATATTAATAATAATTTCTAACTCACACTTATTATGAAGACTAAATATTCTTTTGTTAATATTATTTTCCTTTTCTTACAGAAGAGATCCTTAAAGAAGGCAGTACTGGTAAGATAAAAAGCCATCTGTAAATTTCTTCGAGAGCAGGATAAGGAAGAAAACTGTTGTCAGTAGAATTAAACTTTCTAAACCACTTCACAGTTCATTTTCTTACATCACCCTCCTAGCAACCTGAAGAGGTAAGTGGGCATAATTATTACTTCCATTCTACAGTAAGAGAAACAAAAAATGAAATTAAACTGGGATTCAAATCCAAGTCATCAACCTTCAAATTATGGTCTCATCTTAATGATTTCAGACAGTGCCTCTTAGCATAAGCTAAGACTGCAGCCCCGGAGTACTACATTGTTATGTATATTAGGCTGAACTATCAGATTCAGGGGCTGACATCAACTATACATCTCCATGCTTTGATTCTACCGTATGTAAAAAATTAAGTTAAATTTTTTAATGACTGATACCTACTATGTATTTCAGCTATAAAAAACTATTCACATTCCTGAGCCAAAAAGAAACACAAAGAGAAAGTAAAATGGAACCCTTTTTTACCTTTCTTTTCAACATCTTTAACTTTTCATTTTCACAAGAATATGTCTAGGGGTAGGGTTGTGGTAGGCAAGGGAGTTTTGGTGTTTAAGGCTATGAAAGAACTTGTATCTTCTTTCAGTCTAGTGAGATAATAATCCAGAGAAGACTGAGTAGATGACAGAAGGGGAAAATTGGAGTTAAAGATGAAGGGAGGTACTACACATTTTTAAAATCAAATAATATTCCAAAACAATGTTTAAAAGATGGAATTGTACTCCAGTAAAAGTGACTGCATTAAGCTGTGGAATAATAAATTAAATTATTAATAGGACCATAATCAGAAATACTAAAGAGTTTGATTGTGTGGATCACAACAAATTTTGGAAAATTCTTAAAGAGATGTGAGTACCAGACCATCTTACCTGTCTCCTGAGAAACTTGTATACAGGTCAGGAAGCAACAGTTAGAACCAGGGACAGAACAACAGACTGGTTCAAAACTGGGAAAGGAGTATGTCAAGGCTATGTATTGTCACCTTGCTTATTTAACTTATGTGCAGAGTACATCAAGAGAAATGCCCAGCTGGATGAAACACAAGCTAGAATGAAGATTGCTGAGAGAAATATCAACAACCTCAGATATGCTAATGATAACACTCTAATGGCAGAAAGTGAAGAGGAACTAAACAGCCTCTTGATGAAGATAAAAGAGAAGAGTGAAAAAGCTGGCTTAAACCTTAACATTCAAAGAACTAAGATCATGGCATCCCATCCCATCACTTCATGTCAAATAGAAGGGGAAAAAGTGACAGTTTTTATTTTCTTGGACTCCAAAATCACAGCGGACAGTGATTGCAGCTATGAAATTAAAAGACACTTGTTCCTTAGAAGGAAACCGATGATAAACCTAGACAGTGTATTCAAAAGCAGAGACATCACTTTGCTGACAAAGGTCCATATAGCCAAAGCTATGGTTTTTCTAGTAGTCATATACAGATGTGAAAGTTGGACCATAAAGAAGGCTGAAGAATTGATGCTTTCTAATTGTGGTGTTGGAGAGGATTCTTGAGAGTCCTTTGGACAGCAAGGAGATCAAACCAATCAGTCCTAAAGGAAATCAATGCTGAATATTCTATTCATTGGAAGTACTGATGCTGAAGATGAAGCTCCAATTGAAAAACCTGCTCATTGGAAAAGACCCTGCTGCTGGTAGAGCTTGAAGGCAAAACAGAAGGGGGCAGTAGAGAGTGAGATGGTTAGATAGCATCACTGATTCAACAGACAGGAATCTGAACAAACTCCAGGAGACAGTGAAAGACAGGAAGCCTGGTGTGTTGCAGTCCAAGCAGTCTCAAAGAGTAGGACATGACTCAGCGACTGAACAACAACCTCCTCAAACAGCACACAGCACAAGGCCAAATACACAATTAATTCTCCAAAAATACATGTCAACTCATAATGCTTTAGTCACAGATTCAAGTAAGGAAAAAGGTAACTTCTACCCCCTAAGGATCAGCCAAAAACAGCTACTTTTGAAACATAATGGCAAAGATAAAAGACCCAGTTCCAAGAAAGATAAGTTAGGGCAACAATGGGACTAAGTCTTTGCACTATTTCCCACAATTCATCAGACAAGTTCATATTAATCATTAGGCTCTTTCTGGGCTTCCCTGGTGGCTCAGATAGTAAAGAATCTGCCTGCAATGTGGAAGACCTGGGTTCGATCCCAGGGTTGGGCTTCCCAGGTGGGGGCAGTGGTAAAGAACACGACTGCCAATGCAGGAGACATAAGAGACATGGGTTCAATCCTTGTGTCAGGAAGATACCCTGGAGTACGGCATGACAACCCACTCCAGTATTCTTGTCTGGAGAACCCCCAAGGACAGAGAAGCCTGGTGGGCTACAGTCCATGGGGTCTCAAAGAATCAGACACGAGTGAAGCAACTTAGCACACATCTAGGTCCCTTCCATCCATTCAATAAGTTTGAATTTTGGAAGAAAATACTGTCACCTATAAAATTACCCAAAACATCAGCTTTTTAACTTTAGAGTGCTTTAGGGAAAAACACCCACAAAAATAAGTGATTTCTCACCCTCTTCCTTTCAATGTGTTTCTTCTTCAGAGAAGGACAAAAATAAGTTTAAAAATTTTAATTTTATACATTAAATCATTCTTCTTCATGAGTGGGAATGTGGCTACTGGAAAGGTTGTCTTGATGTGGAAGCTAGAAAAGTAAGAGAGTTAATTTGGGGAACCAAAAATTTTCTATTTTAAAATGAGCATTACCAATAGGGAACACATTCTATCTATCAAAAGAAATCCTAATAATAAGGAGAAATCGTGTCATATTATAGAAATAAAAAACAGTGGCAGTCAAAGAGAAAATTGTCATGTTTTGCAGGATATTGACAGTTTTAAAAAAAAGGAGGCGGCTTCACTGGGTACAGTAGTAATTTCCCATGACTTTTTAAAGATCTGTCAACACAAAAGATCACCATGAATTACATCAATTGGCTGTCAGTCACTTTTGAAATGTTTCATTGCTGAGCATAGAAGAGACTATTAAAACACTCTAGGATTACAGTAGATACCATGTCATTTTCAAAGGGAATATCTGTCTGTTAATGAGGTCTAAGTGATCTCTACTTCTGAATGACAGCTAACCAAAATCCTTAAAAGGGCATTTACAAATGTGAAGCCAGATGCTTTGGGAGTTATTTTGAACTTAAGGGTGAAATGAAGCAATTTCTTATATCAACTTCCATCAGAGTTTGAGCTCCTTTGATATTTTTAACCCATACTACCCACTCTCTTTTAAAAATATATCA